ACTATTTCCCAACCACCAGCTCCTGGTAGTTCGGGTGTTTGGACTTTGGGTCTGTCTGCCTTGTTCTCTTGGTGAGTCTAAATCTTTTTCTAAGAAAGAGAAGAAGAGCTTGGTAAGAAATGTACGCATTATCCTGCCCATGCAATTGTAACCCCTCTGTACAGTATGTTCACAAATAAAATAAAATAAAATTTAAAAAAAAAAGAAGAATGAGGGAAGAAGATGGGTTGTGGAGGGATGGGTGAGAAGGTTGAAGGGGATGACATTGATCAAAATGCACTATACTCATAAACTTTCTGTTAAATGGCAACTTCTTGGAAAACTATTTAAAGATAATATAAAAACCTGAAGACCAACAGAAGAGACTAGAGGACCCAGAAATAAAGCTGCATATGTACAGTCAGTTGATATTTGACAAAGGAGCCAAAGACATACAGTGGAAGAATCATATCCTCTTCAACTATTGGTGCTGGGAAAACTGGGTGGCACATGCAGAAAACTCATAGTGGACCCTAGCCTATCACCATACACTAACATCAACTCAAAATGAGTTAAAGACCTTAACATCAAATCTGATACTGCAGGACAGAGTAGGAGAGATACTTGAACTTATAGGCACAAGCAGGAACTTCCTGAACAGAGTCCCAGGGTCACAACAAATTGGAGAGAGACTGGACAAATGGGACTACCTTAAAATAAAAAGTTGCTGCACAGACAAAGAAATAGCAATCAAACTAGAAAGACAGCCAACTAATTGGGAAAAAATATTTACCAGCAAAATATCAGACAATATCCATTATATACAGGAACTCAAGAAACTAACCTCTCACAAATCTAACAAATTAATCATGAAATGGGCAAGGGAACTAAAGAGAGACTTCTCAGAAGAGATAAAAATGGCAAAGAAACACATGAAGAAATGTTCATCATCCCTGGCTGTAAAGGAAATGCAAATGAAAACAACCCTGAGATACCATCTTACCCCAGTCAGAATGGCCCACATCCTAAAGTCAGCCAATGACAAATGCTGGAGGGGATGTGGAGAAAGAGGAGCCCTACTGCATTGCTGGTGGGAATGTATACTAATACAACCACTTTGGAAAACAGTCTGGAGATACCTCAGAAAGCTAAATATAGACCTCCCCTATGACCCAGACATTCCACTCCTAGGCATCTACCCTGAGCAACAGGAACCAGAATACAAAGACACATGCACCTCCATGTTTATTGCAGCACTGTTCACAATAGCCAAGATTTGGAAACAACCCAGATGCCCCACTACTGACGAGTGGATCCAAAAATTGTGGTACCTATATACAATGGAATATTATGCAGCCATTAGAAAGGACAAAATAATGGCATTTGCAGGGAAATGGAAGGAACCTGAGCAGAATATTTTGAGTGAAGTAAGCCAAGAACAAAGAGACAAATGGCACATGGTCTCCCTGATATGTAGATGTTAAAGCCAAAATACAAGAAGATATGGCAGAGTAACAGGACTCAAGAAACAAAGGACAGCCACACATTTTGTCATATCATTGCAAAATGACTCCATGTTCTAGAACATATATATGGTAGATATATGCACGCAACAGAGGGAAGTCAGGAGGAGGAACAGAATAAATGGGAACAGCCTACACTAAGCAAAAGGAAAGAAATGTAAACATTGCCTGATGTGGAGAAAATAACTTGTCAAAGCTCATAGAATTCATAAACTGTATAGACCATGATAATGGTCTTTCCTTATGAAAGTTAAAATGTATTTGTGACTCTAACTATCACTATTCCACAATACTACCACTATTCCACAATATGTGAAATTTATGTAATCACCTAATCTCAATTAAAGAACAAAAGTGAGAGAAGGGATGGGTTAAGAGAGATGGGTGACAATGTTGTAAGGCACTATGTACTCATATACTGTTTTATAGAATGGGAACTTCTTTGTACAACTACTTAAAGATAATAATAAAAATAAAGATAATATAAAAAAGATGACTACAAATCTTTAGAGTCTAATATAAATATCAGCTTAATGTATAGGGCAAGAATTGTTTTTTTTGTTTTTCTTTCTTTTTTTAATTTAATTTAATTTGTGAACATACTGTACAGAGGGGTTACAATTACATGGGCAGGATAATGCATACATTTCTTACCAAGCATTGCAGCCTCCTCCTTTGGTTTACCCTTCACATCCCTTCCCAGCCTCCCCCCCCAATCCCAATTGTTTTCCTCCCCTCCCCCCCCCCGACCGACGTTGTAAAGCTCGTTTTGGACATGTACTTCTCATTGTTGCAACAGGTCCACCTGTATCCTTAAACGACTTGTTTTCCCCATCTCCTCCACAAGTTATACTGACATCAAATATAGTGAAAGCAGGGGTTATACTGTGGGGGAGGGACATACAAAGCAACAAAGAAATAATCTTATAAATGCGATTAGAAACACATGCATGAAAGAAAAAAACATTAAAATACATATCTAAGGGTTCATTTTCCTAACATCACATTATCTGACCTTTTCCGCTTGACTCATACATATACTAGATATTGCAAATAAGGGAAACCATGGGGCCTATGTTTCTTTGGGCCTGGCTTACTTCACTTAATAGAATTTTTTCCAAGTTTTTCCATTTCCTAACAAATGGGGCAATGTCATTCTTTCTGATGGAGGCATAGAATTCCATTGTGTATATATACCACATTTTCTTGATCCATTCATCTACTGAGGGGCATCTGGGTTGGTTCCATATCTTAGCTATGGTAAATAATGCTGCAATAAACATAGTTGTGCTGGTAGTGTAAACATTTGGGTAAATGCCCAAAAGTGGGATTGCTGGGTCATAGGGGAGCTCTATGTGAAGTCTTTTGAGGAACCTCCATACTGCTTTCCAAAGGGTTGAACAAGTTTACATTCCCACCAACAACGAAGTAAGGTTCCCTTCTGTCCACATCTAGGGCAAGAATTGTTATGTGAAAGTTTTAAAATATTTTATTTCATTCCCCTTTAGACCAAATCAGATTTGAGAGGAAGTACTAGTTTCAATACTGCTAAAATGTCAGCACT